GTTTCTGCCCCCATTTTGGCTAAAAGGTCTCTGCCCATTAGAGGGACCAGGCAATCTGACAAATACAGGAATTCATGAACCACCTGGTGGCTGCCTAACTGACATCGGAGGGAGCGGCACACAGTCTGCAGCTGTGGTCCCGGTAGCTCCAATAATGGTGACTTCCTGTCCTGAGAGGGGAGCTACCTTCTGAGTAACTACCGAGTGCTCTGCTCCTGTATCAACCATAAAATTCACAGTCTGGTCCCCGATTTTCATTTCAACCATTGGCTCATGGGGGCCCAGTTGGAAAGAGCCCAGTCTGTCCTAGTCAGAGTCAGCTGTTGCCAGTCTGAGGAGGTCTGCCTCAGGCGGCTCTGGCCAATAGTGGCTGGGTGGTTTGGATGGCCTGCTCAGCTTCTTCTGGCTTGTTCCTGCCCTGCCTGCCTCTTCACTCCTGCTACTAAACCTTACTCTGTCCCTTCTTACACACGCAGAACCAAACCCAAGGCGGCAAGGTTTGAGCAATTTTAAAATTCCTTAACATACATTCTAAGACAGTCGAGGTTGAGGAGGAGCTATTACCCATGTTGCAGGGAAGGACCGGGTTGCCTCCTCTTTAAAAAAAATACCTGAATAAAAGAACTAATCAAAATAAGGCTTATTTTCTAACTTCATTTGTCCTTGGGTGTGGACAGCAAATGACACTAATCAGATTGACATAAACTATTTAACCTCTGTCTAGGGAGGCAAATGAAAATCATTTACTCCCAAGTGTCCTTGGTTTAGGGAAGATAGGATTTCTGCTCAGTTTCCCTATTCTACTTGTCCCAGCTTACTGGCCTATCATCCATTCAACTTTCTTTCAACATTGCTCTTTTCCTTCTCATCACATACACAACCTTCACAAATTTCACACTTTCAAATTAGCCTTCAAACCTTCTTTCTATGTCCTTTAAAAATGCATAACCATGCCTCAGATCTTCCATTTAGTATTTCTCTTTACCTTCCTCCATTACACCAAAGCCATATTTTCCAGTTAGTTAGAACTCTTAGCCTTAATTTTTAGGTGACATGTAAATAATTAACATTCCTCAGATTAGCAATACATTCATATTTTTTAAGAGACACAAACAGAAATTTTACTAGCTAAACAATTTTAAACAACAAAGACACATATTTAAACAATAAAGACAGATAACATTCCCCATTAAAAACTTTGAATCACCACGGAAACTCAGATGTTTAGAAGGTTTTTTTTAAAGAAAACAGAAACAAACATAAAAACACTTTTACACCGTCGTGCGCCACATTTACACCACAAAATACCAACAAATCAGTTTCAATAGTGCAGAGATACAGAACAAGTGCCTGAAAAGCGGCAGTAGAAAACTGCCTAGGACACTTCTCTTCTACCATTTTAAAAGACAGGTCAGACTCGAACCCTTAGCCAGTCTGAGTTTTGACTTCCCTCCCAGAAGTCCCAGAGACAGTGAATACCATCTAGAAGCCATCCCTTAGAGATCCTTGATAACTTAGATCAGTAATCCATTCATTTAATCCTTCAATAGAATAAAAGGCTGGATGAATCCACTCTATGTCCTCCAAGAGGATTTCAGCGAAATGACAAAAAGACACACAAAGCTCACAAACAAAACCAAAACCAAAAAGCCAAAGCCAAGAGTAGCCCCTGACATCTCAAGGGTGCTCCAAGGAAGAAGTTATGGCTTCCTCCAGCCCTTCTCCCAATCCACCACCAGTGACCGGTCCCAAGACTCACCACTAGAGGATTTCTTAGGTGATCCGATGAAATTTTTTTTTTTGGGGGGGGGGCCAACATCCCCTGTCCGCTAGCTGGATCCCAAGGGGAGTTCTCCCGGGCCCTGGAACTTCCCAGGGTGCACAACCCCTAGAAACCCCTCAGTCTCCATGACGGACCAAGGGGAGGTTCGGCGTCCCTTTGTGTTCGAAACAGCACCCCTAGGGGGCTGCATCTCGCTGGGGCCTCCAAATGTTGTAATGTACCCCGAAAATCACACAAGGACGCCTCAAGAAGTCGAATTAAAGAGCACATTTATTGCAAATCCGGGACTATGAGAGGGCATTTCACTCTCGCAGATCTCATAGTGCCCTCCTCAGCCCCAACACCAGATTTATATAGGCAAAGATCACAAAGGTATTGATTACATCCCAGGGTTTGGAATGAGGAACCTGGTTTGCAAAAAAGCAGTTTACAGAAGCAGAAGCAGAAGCAGCATGTTATCTAAATTATAGTTTTGGGTCTCTGGGTCCCTGGATTGACAGAAACACATTCTCTAGAGCCCTCGGGTCTGGAACGAGGAACCCGGTTTGCAAAAAAGGGGTTTACACAAGCAGAAGCAGTTTCATGTTATCTAAATTACAGTTTTTGGGTCTCTGGAACACTGAGTCAACAGGGACACATTAACTGGAGCCCTCTGACCTTGGGATAATTGTGCTGTCCTTCCCAGGTAAAGGAAAATGTGCTTTGTAACACAAGTATGACCACAACCAATGGGATAGTCACATTACAATCAATAGGATATTTAATCGAATGGGATGATTTATATAATTCAGAAAATCAAAATAACTTTTCTATTATTTTAGCAAGCAAATAAGTACAGAAACCCAACAGCAGGGTTAAAGTTAAACTATAGTTTCTACCCAAGATGAATGCTACCATACTTCACTACGCCATCCGCTGCCACACTGCCTGCAGGGCAGATTCCAGGTGCGAGGGACCCAGAGATGAGTGGAGCTGGACCTGCGAGTCCCCAAGAGCAGTAGGGAGAGACGTCTGTGCTCACTGGGCTCCAGAAGTAGCTGGGGGACAGAGATTGCCAGGGCATCTTGGAGTCCAGGACCAGGCCTGCCTGGCCTCACTCCCCAGTGCATTGGACTGCTTTGCACTTCTCATCTGCAAGACCTGGTCCAGCACCCACCTTGCACCAGCCACTCTGGATGTCACGAGTGTGTGATCCAGGGACATAGAGAAGGGCTGACGTGTGTGAGTAGAGGAGGCACAAAGGAGTCCAGTGATGAGATGCCTCCCAGGGCCTCAGGTTGGGGTGGGAGTGGCATTCCAGCTGCACCCCTCCCCCACTCCAGGGCTGCACTTCAGGAGATGCTGGGCCTCTCCCACCACTGGGTGCTGACTGCAGGCCCAGCCTTGCCTTCTGTAGGGCTCCGTGCAGAACCCCGATGGGAGTGGCCCATGATCAGGTAAGTGGGAGAGGCCAGAGTAGGAGGCCAGGTGTATAGGGGAAGAAGAGACCCCTACAATTCAGTCATAATTGAATGACTGACTGAATGAATGTGTGAATGGAAAAGGGGCTACATAGCAGACCTGACAAGCTCTGGGCGCTGCTTGGTGAGCCTGAAAGGAACCACAAAGGTGATTCGACCATAAATTCCTAGCTGGGAAGGTCATGCGGGTAATCACATCCCTAGGCCTATAGCTTCCTTAGTGAAAGGCCAATCTTTACTGTAAGCAGCCCTTCCCCTTGTTCTTATGCATCTAGACCAGTGATGGCGAACCTATGACATGCGTGTCAGAGGTGACATGCGAACTCATTTTATGGTTCATTTTTCTTTGTTAAGTGGCATTTAGATATATAAAATGAATATCAAAAATATAAGTTTTTTTATTATGGTTGCAAATATCAAAAAATTTCTATATGTGACACAGCACCAGAGTTAAGTTAGGGTTTTTAAAAATGCTGGCACACGAGCTCAAAAGTTTCACCATCACTGATCTAGGATAAGGTACCTTTGATAAGTCAGGGTGAAATTCTTTTCCAAACCACTTGGAGGCATAACCACATTGGCACCAGTTATGCTGCTGCCCACATACCATCTCTACTTACTGTAAATGTTAACTATCCTGTACTCACTAAGGTAAAGGAAGTGAGTGTTTCTCCATTTTGCTTCCTGGTAGTCAACATCTCACACTTGTTGTCACAGCTCCTTGCAGGGGAGGTAAGTGTGGCCTGTGTGTCTCCACCTGGAGAGGATTCTGGAAGCCTCCTCCCAGTGTCTCCTGGACTCACTCTTATGACCTTTTCCTGTGCTGATTTGCTTTGTGTCCCTTTGCCATAATAGATCATAGCCCTGCACCCTGGTAGCCTAGTAGATCAACAGGCTTGGGGTTCCTGACACGTGGCCCTTTACAGAAAAAATCTGCTGAGTACATTCTGCATGAACATAAACACTACATTGTCACACCTAAGAAAATAAACAATTATTCTGCACTATAATCCAACATCCAGTCCATATGCAAGCTTTCCCAATTGACCCCCAAATGACTTATAGAGCTTTTTCTTTGAACCGGGATCCAATCAAGATTTGTATATGCAAATATGTAAAGGAGTACATCCCCTCCTTTATATAGGCGTTCATTCCTTCCTCCATCCATGACTTTAACTCTGTGAAGATATCAGGACGGTTGTCTTGCGAACTGTCGCAGACAAGGGTCATGATTTTCTTGTGCACCCTGCTCAGCCTTCCTATGTCCTGACAGCTGGGGTGCAGCCCTGAAGGCTGGATGAGGGTCAGGTTTGACTGCCCACAGGTGCGGCTGCTGCGTGGGAGACCCCCCTCCTCCCGCCCACAGTCGCAGGCCATTTGGGGCGGGGACTGATAGCTTGGACCACCTTTCTTTAGCCCTTGTGCCATTTTCTGATGACTTTCGCCCTGAATCAAAGATTCACTGGGGGCTGCACAGAGTGTTCTCCAATTCCTCCATTCCTTCTATCTGTGCTCGCTGGTTTTCTTTGCTAAAGAACCTCTGTCATCAACCTGGTTAAACTACCGCCCCCCTAAAAGGCGGGCACACGTTTAGTGACCTTTGAATTACAACTGTCTAGAGCTGTCATTGCGGGGCCCGGCCACTACGGGGCGATGGCGTGCAGCCGGGGAGAGGCCCTCCCAGGCAACGGTTTTCAGAGAGCGCGCCCCGGCCAGGCCGGCGCCGTCATGTGACGTCACACCGCGCGACCGGGCGAAGCGCGGCGGCGCTGTCCCTGTTACCTGTTGCTCTCAGTGGCGATCGCCATGGTTCCGCGGGTGCAGCTCTCCCCTGAGATTCAGCTGGCACAGCGCCTGGCGGGGAACGCGCAGGTGACCCGGGACCGGGCGGTGAGGAAGCTCCGGAAATACATCGTGGCCAGGACTCAGCGGGCTGCAGGTTGGCGCGTGGCCTGCGGGGCCGCCTGGGGGACTGGGCCTGCCGGGTCGGGGCGCGGCTCGGCCCGGCGGGACGAGAGTGGGGGTAGGGGGGTGAGTGGGGGCGGCGGCGGTCCTGGCTGCGTGGCCTCCGAACCACGTGGTCCGTCGCGCCTACGGGGGTATTTCCACTGCCCCTCCCCGCGGCATTTGTCACTTGTCAGTAATGCGCCTTGTGTAATTGTTGGGTTGTCATTTGAGTTTCACTGTAGCGTACGCCCCGCGAGAGCAGAGAACATGCCTGTTAACTGGTCTGTGTAACAAAGGTTCTCAAAGTGTGGCACCCCTGGGGCAAGGACAGCATCACTGGGACATTTGTTGAAAAGGCAGTTTCTTGGTCTCATCCCAGCCTCGATGGATCAGAAACTGGCCGTAGCGTCCGAGATCCCTGTGTTAGGAAGCCCCCAAGTGATTCTAACACGCGCTCAGGTCTGAGAACCACTGCTCACTGAACACAGTGCCAGACAGAGGACTCAGTAATTATTTTGAGTGATTTTATGTGTCTTCGTCCTGTACTAGCCTGATGACTTAACCTTTTCTTTTGAAATTTGGAGTGTGATGCAGAAAAGTGCACCAACCCCAAGTGTGACGCTGGATGAATTATCCCCCTATTGTTTAGAGCAGTTTTAATTTACAGAAAAACTGAGAGGAAGGTACAGAAGTTTCCCTTATCTCCTGCCTCCCCCCTCACATGCACAGCTACCTTTGTTATCAGCATCGCCCACCAGATGATACATTTGTTATAATCGATGAACTAACACTTGACACATCATCGATATCCTCAGTCCATAATTCACCTGAAGGTTCACCCCTGGTGTATGGTCTGTGGTTTGGACAAATGTATAATGACATGTATTCATACACGATGGTGTCTTACAGAGTCGATTCATTGCCCTAAAATGCTAGCCTTTGTAAAACAGTGTTTATTAGAATATGAACTGCTTACTCTTCTTCAGGATCCCCTGGGTGGGGGGGCAGTACTGGAAGTGCAGAATCCTGCACTGTATTCCATGCCTCTGAACTAGAGTCTCAGGGAAGGCTCTGGAAGTACCCATTTAGCAAGTGCAGGGAGTGCTGCTTGGCCAGTGACACGGGCAGGCAGTGAGTAAGTTGCAGGGGTCTGGTTGGCTCCCTCTCTTTATTATTATTATTTTAAAAAATATCTTTATTGATTTCAGAGAGGAAGAGAGAAACATTAATGATCAGAGAGCATCATTGATCAGCTGCCTCCTGCACGCCTCTTACTGGGGTCAAGCCTGCAACCTGGGCATGTGCCCTTTATCAGAATCGAACCTGGGACCCTTCAGTCCACAGGCCAACGCTCTATCCAGCTAGCCAAACCTACTAGGGCTGGTTGGCTCCCTCTTTCTGCGGCTCAGGTGGATGCATGTCCTGTGGCTCTCTGCTCTGGCCTGCCTTCTCTTATTCTCTCCTTCCATTGCCAACCTCTATTGCTCAGGGCTCAGCCGGATCATGAGGGCAGTGACTGCCCTGTTGCAAGGTTCTGCTGGCCCCAGCTGTAGAGTGAAGCCCTTCGCAGCAGGGATGTAGCTTGCAGGCCTCACGCACACTGGGCTGAAGCAGCCAGTGAAGCCTGTCTCATGGCGGGTGGACAGCTGAGTGTGTTGCTTGTTGTTGTGAAACCGCATTTCTTCAGGGGCTGACGGAGTTTTTTGACTATTTCCTGCACAGGAGGAACTAGGAAGGACCATCTCCCAGCTTGTCCACGCTTTTCAAACCACAGAGGCACGTGAGTATCCTTACCCCTTGGGAAGGCCAGAACCACCGAGTCAGTAGCTTCCACACACAGAAGCCTGGGTTCTAAGATCTTGAGCAAGAGAGAAGTCCCCATGGTAGCTGGTGTCTGCTGGTGCTTATGTGTGAAACACTTCAATCCGTATTAACTCTTTTACCTAAAATACACTCAGCTCAAAAGTCTAAGGGGCTAATATCCTACATTTTATTTATTTATTTTTAATATATATTTTATTGATTTTTTTTTACAGACATGAAGGGAGCGGGATAGAGAGTTAGAAACATCGATGAGAGGGAAACATCGATCAGCTGCCTCCTGCACATCTCCCTACTGGGGATGTGCCCGAAACCAATGTACATGCCCTTGACTGGAATCGAACCTGGGACCCTCTGTCTGCAGGCCGACGCTTTATCTACTGAGCCAAACCAGTTAGGGCCATTTTATTTATTTAAAATATATTTTTATTGATTTCAGAGAGGAAGGGAGAAGGAAAGAGAGAGAAAGAAACATCAATAATGAGAGAGAATCACTGTTCAGCTGTCTCCTGCTTGCCCCCTACTGGGGATCGAGCCTGCAACTCGGGCATGTGCCCTTGACCAGAATCGAACCTGGGGCCCTTCAGTCTGCAGGCCTACTTTCTATCCACTGAGCCAAACCCGCTAGGGCAATACCCTACATTTTAAAATTAAAGTGGCAAGCTGGTGTGGTGCTACCAAGCTTCTGGACTGACTCTCATCTGATCATTGTGATTTCCTCAGTGAGCTTTTTCTCTTCTGAGCACCATCAGCAGTTCTCAACACTGCCGCTTGCCCATGGGGTCACTGGGCGTCTTTAGAGTCTTAATGTCCAGACCCTGCTGTCCTTAGATGGGGTTCTGAGGGTGGGGCCTAGGCACCAGCATTTTGTCTCCCTCTGCTGCCCTAAGGGTGGCCAGGGCCGGGGACCATCACTGGCATAGGCACTAGGACAGTGATGGCGAACCTTTTGAGCTCAGCGTGTCAGCATTTTGAAAAACCTTAACTCTGGTGCTGTCTCACATATATAAATTTTTTGATCTTTGCAACCATATTAAAACAAAGATTTATATTTTTTATATTTATTTATATATTTAAATGCCATTTAACAAAGAAAAATCAACCAAAAAAATGAGTTCACGTGTCACCTCTGACACGCGTGTCATAGGTTCGCCATCACTGCACTAGGACCATTTCTAGTGGTTTAGTTCAGACTTAAATAGGCAAAGGATCAAAATTTGCTGGGGGTGGGAGGGGGCGTGCACAGAAATCACAGAAACTACTTTCTCAACTTGGCAGAGTCTAACTCAGCCATGGGCAAACTACGGCCCGCACGCCGGATCCGGCCCGTTTGAAATGAATAGAACTAAAAAAAAAAAAGACCGTACCCTTTTATGTAATGATGTTTACTTTGAATTTATATTAGTTCACACAAACACTCCATCCATGCTTTTGTTCCGGCCCTCCGGTCCAGTTTAAGAACCCATTGTGGCCCTCGAGTCAAAAAGTTTACCCACCCCTGGTCTAACTGCATTGGAGTCATTAGTGGAGGAGAATATCTGTTGAGACCCGCTCCCAAAAGGTCCCGCAGGGTAGATGTGGCGTGGGATTGAAGAAATACAGGAGACCAGGGTTAGGAGGACTGGCACAAAGCACCAGCAACTTTATTTTTTACACACACTGTTTTATAGCTAATCTGTGGCTGGTCATGCTTCATAGATCACTGCTAGGGCTTGGCCTATCATGGGGAAGTAGCAGATCGTTACAGACTGGGCAAGACTGGGCAGGCTTTGTCTAGTTCAATCTGTGTTTGACAGTTGCTATGACAAACAGTTGCTATGACAAAATGTCTGCTTGCCTAGATCACAAGAACTGGGGTGCAAGCCAAGTTCATGTCCTTTACATGACTTGGAGTGGGGTCAGGCTTTTTCTGGACCCCCACGGCCTCTTACAAATATCTACCTTCTGTACTTTTTACCTTCTAAGAACCTGCAGAAGAGTTTGCTCAGTAGAAGGCAAAGTATAGAGTGTTCACCTAGTGACACTGGAATGAGTCAGTGAACACCAGCCCGTCCATTGCTGAACCATCTGATCGGCTCTTTGCTGTTGGAGAAGCCTGTAACGGGAGATAAGAGATGCCCTTTGTGTCCCGATGTCAGGGTGTGGGCAGGGCTGGTTTCTCCTGAGGCCTCTTTCTTTGGCATGAAGATGCTGTCTTCTCCCTGCGTCCTCATGTGATTGCCCCTCCGTGTCTGTGTCCTGATCCCATCTTATAAGGACACAGTCTGATTGGATGACGTCCCACACAGTGACCTTATTGTATCTTAACTACCTCTTTAAAGACCATATCTATAATAATAAAAGCGTAATATGCTAATTAGGCCAGACATCCGGATGAAGCGGGGGCTGCCAGGGAAGCCCAGGTCCCAGGTGCCTGCCGGTGGCCAGAGGGAAGCTCAGGTCCTGGGTGCCAGAGGGAAGCCGGTGCCGGCAGCCAGGGGAAGGAAGGCCTACTCTTGCACGAATTTTATGCACTGGGCCTCTACTATTCAATTAAAGTCCTGTTTCTAAGTATGGAGGTTAGAGCTTCAACACAGGTGTCTGAAGGGCACAGGTCAGCCCCTTGTACCCTTGCGTAGCCATTATCAGCAGGATTTTGCATTTGATTGGTTAGTACGGCTAGAGGGGCAAGTGCCGAGGTCCTGCATGAGTGTCAGGCAGGGCCTCAGCCCAGCCACAGGGAGGCCGAGGGCCTGGGGAGGAAGTGGCCTGAGTAGCCTCCTTTCTTGCTGGTGGCTTTGCGTGCTCTTTGCACCTGTTCTTCGGAGAATGTGGCTGCCGCTCCGAGTTGTGGTGAGCTCTGCTTTTCTTTCTGAGGTTCCTCACGGCTCCATTTCTAAGCCAGATTCACAGCTCAGCCAACTCAGACTGAGAATGGCAGAGGCTGGTTGCACACAAAACCCTGACCAGGTGTCTTCATATTCTGTCACGTTACTTCCCAGAGTGGCTTCCAGGTTCCTCCATGATTCTCCTGTGGCCTGTTTCCCTCCCCAGAGCACCTGTTCCTTCAGACCTTCTGGCAGACCATGAGTCGCGAGTGGACGGGCATAGACAGACTGCGCCTGGATAAGTTCTACATGGTGAGGAAGCAGCGCGCCCCCCTCGGCCGGGTCCCCTGCGGTGCCAGAGTGGCGGGGGGGGAGCAGGTGTGAGCACCCAGAGAGTTGGGGAGGGAGGGCTGGGGGTGCAGCATGGAGTGGTCTGGCCTTTGAGCCTCCCACCCCAACAGGGCAGAGCTAAAGGCTTCTGGTCAGTGCGGCCACCCTGACCACTGACCATAGCCTGGTGGTCGCTCAGGGAGCCTAGGTCTTGTTCGGGGTGCACATGCCTAGGATTGTGCAGCACTTGACCCATCTCTGAAGGTTGGCAAGTAGGCACAGAATTCAGTCCTTGAAACACCGTACAGGCTTTCAGTTCAGAGGAGGAGGGTCACAGTTGCCCTCCTGGAGGGTTGTGGGGAGCCGTGAATGCCGGCGGAGCCGTGGGGCTCGTGCCCTCGGTGGAGGCCCTTGGGAGCCTGGGTGCCAGCACTGAAGTTGGCTTCTTCCAGCCGGGGGCAGCAGTACAGTTGTTGTTTGCAGGATCCCCTTTCCCCTCCTGTAAATTTAGGTTACTGATTTGCCTTTAGAAATATCTCCCCACCCCCATCCCGTGTTGAACTCTAGTGTTGTTACTAAGTGGTGTTCACTGGGACTTGGGACAGTCCCCAGATGAGGGGACAGTATTGCTGTCTCAGAGCGGGTGACCCACTGGGCACACTGTACAGGGCAGTGGCCAAGCCTCACTGAGGACGCATCCCCTCAGGGCAGCAGTTCATGTGTGATTCTGTCACTCAGCTCAGCTCCGACTGGCTCAGGGTCATGTGGACGCCGCATGCATGGCAGACACTGAAGTGTGGTCCCGGCAGAGAGCTGAGGAGGGAAAGAGGTTGGACACGAAGGCAACGGGCAGAGGAGCAGGGCGGGGCCAGGCTTTGCACTTTTACAAAATACAGGTTTATCAGGCGGGGGAGCTCTATGTGATCAGCACATGGGGCCTGAGGTGCAGTCGCTTCGCCAGGATGGATTCAGTTGCTTGTTGAGGCCCATTTCCCAGGTCCCCTTGTGACCATGTCTAGCAGCACAGCCCCCTTTTGATGGCACTGCAGGTAGGGAATGAGGTAGAACAGGTGTCCTGGCTGCTGGGAGTGCTCTGTCCTGTCCTCTCACTCCTGACCACGACTGGACCCTCTGCGGGATGTGGGGTCAGTATGCGGAACGCAGGAAAACTGGGCCAGAAATGCTGTGAGCAATGCACTGGGGAACGGGGGCTTGTGGGGCAGGCATTGGGCTCAATTGAAATGATAGGTTTAAGGGGAGAGTTTACTGCATGGAGATCAGAAAGAAAGTAAACCTTTTGCTCTGTTGGGGGGAGATGTTCTCAGTTGCCGGACCCAGTTTTTACAGGGCCTCTGCCGCCTCTGGGCACCTGTGCTTCATTCCCGTCCTTACTCCTGAAGCAGGGCCCAGTCCACCTCCGCTGCTGTTCATGGTGCCTCAGTTGCTCCCCAGGTCTCCTCTATGAGCCTGACTTCGTGGTGCGCTTGGAAAGTTGGGGCATCTCAGCCCTGGGCAGCAACACCTCTCCAGGGTTCTGAGGGCTTGGTGTTCTGTCCACCTACAGCTCTGGGGCCTGCTGTGTGTTTGGGGCTCGCAGACGACCACGGGCAGAGGGGCTATCTAGGGAAGTCTGGGTTGCGCTACCACTAACGGGACCTCCTTGTGTGCCACAGCTCAATAGATGGTCCTGAAGGAGTCCTTGGTGGCCCTGAAAATGTGGGGATGGAAGGAAAGGTCAGTACTCACAGCACGTCCTGCGTCTGCTGCTCGAGGCCCAGTCCCAATTCCTGTCCCTGGGGGATTGGGTTCACGGGTTCTCTTTTAATTATTTGTCGTAAATGAGACGTCAGCTTTCACATTAGAGAGTGACCCGACGGCACTTACAGTGAAGGTGTTTTAAAAATTATAGTTTGTGTGAGTTCATGTAAATGTTTGTTTTCAACCTTGATGATAAGTTGTGGATTAGAATTGAGTTCTCACATAAAAAGTATTGTGTGTTTGTGTTTAGCTCTTTTGTCAATGATCATTGCGACGTGTCTGTCCCTTCTGTGCCACCTGCCCTGGGCCTGTCTGGTCTCCTGGTATCTGCCTTTGCCCCCAAAGTCTGTTCTTGGCCTGATGGCCAATGTGTCCTTGAAAAACAGGCACCATGTCACTCACTCCCCTGGCCCTCGCTCCATGTGCGCCATCCTGACTCCCCCGGCCCCCTCTCTCCCACCGGTCTCCACCCTCTGTCACTCCAGGGGCCTCCCCTCACCACCCTGCTTGAAGCAAAACCTCCCAGCCCTCGCCTGCCTCCCTTGCTGTCTCACTTCCTGGCATAACCCGCTTCTAGTTACATAAATCACTGGTCATTGTCCCGGCCCATCTTTCCCACTGATGTCGACTCCACCAGGACAGGGAGCTCTGTTGATCATTGATGTAGTAGCCTGTGCCAGGATTTGGTCCTTTTTAAGGCTGAATGGTGTTCCATTGTGTGCATGGACCACATGTTGCTTATCCAGTCATCTGTGGATGGACACTTTGATTCCTTCCACGTTTTATCTGTTCTGTGAACATGGGTGTACAGTGTAGCTTTTTTTTTCTAATGAAGTTGAATGTTTTGTTACTAAACTTTATTTTTCCCTGTAAGGCTGTTGCTAAACTGTATAGAAATAGGACGGGGTGTGTGTGGGGGGGGAGGGAGAACAGCACCAGCAAACTCAATATATTGCAAAATTAAGATAGTATTGTTCGTCATCTGACTCTAACAACTTTTCTCCACTGCCAGTTATTTCCAATGGAAGGATCATTAAGTATTTTGATCCAAGTGCAGAGAGGAATGTAAGCAGGTTACAACATTATATTAGGCTTAAGGTAACAATGTTATCTTTGAATTACATAATTTTTATAACTAGGTTTTACCACAGAAAGTTTCAGTAATTCTGATATTTTAATTGTAGCCTAGTCTAAAAATCATAGGGTGCTGGGAAAAGATGCCCATTGTGTTTATCTGCAAGCATTAGAAAGTTAGGGGTATTTTCTTCCAATAGTATTGCTGTAGTTTCTTTTTTCATGGTATTACTAAAAGTTGCTATTAAAAGTCTATCTACCATTAACTTAAGACAACTCTGCCAATTGAAGTTGTTTCATGCTACTTTATTTAGCGGGCTTTCCATTTTCACTCCTCAATAG